CTTTCTTTCTCGCACACGCACGCAGACACATCCTCCCTCGTCGCGCTCTCGCCCCTCGGCCTCCCTCTCGCCTTCTTTCTCTTTCACTTTTGCAGGCCCTGCAACCTTTTAAAATGTTGCCCCTTCGCTGTGATTCGCCAGACGCCGCGCCGCGGCCCCCCGCACGCTCGCCCGCTCCCTCCGTCGCCCGCTTTTTGTCTCTCGCGCTCCCTCTCCCCTTTGCTACACTGAGACTCCCGTCAATGACTGCATTGAGAGCCGGCTCCGGCGCGAGTTGCCTCTCCGCTTCACGCTCGATTTCCAGGCATTCTTCCCTTATTAAGTATTCGTGTAATATTAATAGTCATGAATATCTGCTATTAGGAGGCTCCAGGAACGCTGCCCAGCGCGGTTATTAGAAGCTGAAGTGAAGCCGCCGCTAAGAAAAGAGGGGAGACACGGATTAAGGGACATTCACACACACACTCACACACACACTTCACACACATACTTTTTTCCTCTTTTTTCTTTTTGTATTTTTTTTTGGTTGGCTTTTTTTTCTTGTTGTTGTTGTTGTTTTCGTTTTTCTTAAAAGAACTTTGAATCCTAACCGATTGCGGCAGGATAGAGATCGTGGGTTCGACCAGCTGAAGGCGCCGCGCGACTCGGTGGTACAAGTTCGGATGGATCCGAGCCGGGCTCCGACGCTCGCCGGAGCGTCCGCGCGGTGACTGGAGTCCTGGGTGGCGCGGGGCTCTCGGAGCCTTTTGTGTGGGGCTCTCTCGGGCCGCCGGGCAGCCGGGTGCTCGAGGCGTGGTGGTTTTTGTTTTGGGGGTTTGTTTTTGCTTTTTTCCACCCTGACTGGTTACCCCAGACTCTTCGCAGATGTTAGTTCACAGTTTTTCAGCTATGGTGAGTCCCACCCCACCCCCACCCATCCCTGTTTCCTTAGGAATTCTGATCCCGAAACCCGCAGCCGAGAAACTGCCTGAGATCCAGATCCAGGGCTTCTCGGCCCGGGTTCCTTGTGGACATCTCCTCCCACTTGCATTCCTATCTCCCTTTCCTCTTTTCTCTGGCTCTTTTCCATCCTCAAATCCAACGCGTCGCCACTACCCTGTCCCTGCTGGACCTCTCCGCGCACGCAGACCTACCCCGCAGCTCTTTCCCTGGGCCAGTTTCTCGCCTAGTTCGTCTTTATTTCCTTGCGTCTTCTTCACTTGTTCCAGAGCCGCTCTCCACATCCGATGCTTAATCCGTCTGTGGGGGGTGAAAGGCGCACCCCGGTGTGTCCCCTAGCCCGGGGCCTTGAGGCTGAACCTTGGAGGGTTCCGATTCTCTGGAACCCACTCTTGGCTTGCTTTGCAAGCGGATTGCAATAGAGAAATGTAAAGTGAGGGGTTTCTTTTGCCCTTTGGGGCTGGAGGTGGAAGGGGCGGGGGCCTCCGCCCCGGGGTGCCCCTCTTTCTTTTAAAAGAACCGGGTAAGGCAGAATCTTTCTATTTTAAACCCCGTTCCTTACTCCCCTTTCATATCATAAAACGACCCTGCCGTGTAAAAGCCTCCTAACAGAGGAAGCGGAAAAGACAGACACCCCCACCTCAACCATGCAGTTCAAATCTTTAAGCTGGTAATTTAAATGTGTGCTTTCTTACGGCCCCTGTGCGAAACATGTTTCTATTTAAATAGTCATGGAATGGAAATAGTCTTTGAAGGTTTATGATTTTTCCCTTCCAGATTAATGGAAGAGTAAACAATAACGCGGTGGCAGACAGGTTCAAATCCGGGAACAGCAAAGGCTGCTTCTGTTTAATATTTAGTGGATGTTTGAATTTTGCTTAAGGGAGGTTTGGTACTGCGGGTGTTGGGGCTGTACTACAGGACGCCCTTTTACATCTCCTGCCCCCCTTTGAGAGGAATATCTGGGAGAGTCTGTTGTGCCCCTAGATTTACATATTCTGATTTCTTTTCTTTTTTTTTTTTTTTTTTTTTTTTTTTTTTTTTTGAAAAGGCCTGCTTCACTTCTGGGGTATTTTCTAATGCTAACAATGTAGAGCTGATACCCCTACCCCGGCGTCCAGCAGAGGGGAACGGGTGATTTCCCCACATTGGCTTGCCGAATGGATTTAATGGGGGTAGCTAAAACTCTGCGCCTCATTTCTCACTATTTCCCTTTCGTCTTGCTTTCTTCCAGGACCGTCACGACGGCACCAGCAACGGGACGGCAAGGTTGCCCCAGCTGGGCACTGTAGGTCAATCCCCCTACACCAGCGCCCCACCGCTGTCCCATACCCCCAATGCCGACTTCCAGCCTCCCTACTTTCCCCCGCCCTACCAGCCTATCTACCCTCAGTCGCAAGATCCTTACTCCCACGTCAACGACCCCTACAGCCTGAACCCCCTGCACGCCCAGCCGCAGCCGCAGCACCCGGGCTGGCCCGGCCAGAGGCAGAGCCAGGAGTCTGGGCTCTTGCACACGCACAGGGGGTTACCCCACCAGCTGTCGGGCCTGGACCCTCGCAGGGACTACCGGCGGCACGAGGATCTCCTGCACGGCCCACACGGGCTCGGCTCGGGGCGCGGGGACCCCCCGATCCACTCCTTACCTCACGCCATCGAGGACGTCCCGGTAAGAGGCGGTGCGGGCCGCGGGGAGGGAACGCAGCCCTAGGCTCACCTGCCCTCCCGGAAGCTTCCTGGAGCCCAGGCCCGCAGGGCCTTGATTTTCCTCAATAATAGTTGGGAGTGGAAGTGACACTCACTTCAATAACTGAATTTAAAAATGAAAAACTAATTGAGAACAATGCTTCATGGAGCTCGCTCAACAATGCCTGGGTCACCACTTCCAGCCAACAGAAATAAACCAGGCGATGGTCACCATTCTCTGCAGCTTCTCTCCGTGACAATAAATTGTGTAGATTGGGGGGAGGGGTGGGGGGGACACGGGACTTAATTCCGCTGCTGAATGTGTCGTGGGGATTTCTCGCTGTTCTAGGAAAGTGGTTAAATTTAGCCCAGAGAGCTCCTTAAACTATCTCACAAAGTAAAAGAAAGTGCGAGAGACTTAGGGAAAAGGTCCTTGAACCGGGTTTTATAAGCATTAGTGAAACCCAGAAGTTATGCCTCCCCTATCCTGATCAAAGGAAAACAAGTAGCAAATCCAAGCACAGGGACATTAAAATGCAGCTTTCTTCTCTTCCTGGGGGTGCTAAGTGGTGACCTCATAAATCATTAGCTAGGTTCCCAACGCCTATCAGAAGCTGCTACACTGAATATTCAATTAAATGTTTGGATACTATTGGGTGCTGCGTTGAGTTCTAATTCAGTTATCAATAAATGCAGTTTCAAATGATTTCTAAATAAGGACGACCTCAGCACATGTACTATTTACAATGTAACTCAGGCCATTGATAATTTGAAAATACTTTTTAAAATTAAATTGCAACCAGCACCTCAATTTCAGCTCTATAAATTTATGGTTTTCTCACAATCTTCCTGAAATGGAATTAGAGCAAGCCAATATATATATTTTTTTATCGCTGTAAAGGCTTCTGCTAAAGGTACTTTTCTTTGGAAAGGAAATGTATCTGGATGTGATTTTTGCTTAAATGCTATTTCAAATTACTGCATCAAATATAGCAGTGGTATGTCTGTTGACAGTTTAATGATTGCTGAATTAGATTGTAAGGAAAACGACCACATGAACTTACCTGATTGCCTGGCAGATTTAAAACATTCTTGAAGTTCTACAGGAAAATAGAAAATTTATTACCTCTCTCATTTAGCCCAGTTAATCACCGAAATTTGTTGGTTATGCTTAACAGCCTTGCATGAAACACAGGAAGGCAGGCACTTGGTCCAATGCAAGGCTCAGTAAGCATTGTGTGTGTGTGTGTGTGTGTGTGTGTGTGTGTGTGTGTGTGCATGCACGCGCGCACGCGCGCATGAACGCGCGCATGTGTTCATATTTGTATGGTTTTAGAAAACTGTGGCTAGTGAATTTGAGGCAATATTTTATAAAAGCAATTTTGAACAGAACTAGAAATTATGGTGATTTTAGTTTTCTTTCTCAGAGAGTCCCTGAATTCTTTTCTTTGCCTGTTCTTTGGAAACACTAATAGCAAAATAATATCTTAAGCTTTTGGAACTGCTGTGTATTGGAAATAGGTCTTCTGCAAAAAATGGCATGAGGCTGCTGGGAATTCTTGATACCTGTGTGGTCACTCTGTGATGCAATTGATCGGTAGGAGAAACTAACCAAATGATCATATAAAAGCAAGAAACCCAGTTGCTCTTCCTCTCCCCCTCCCCCACCTTTCAAGAAAAAAAAAATCCTTCAAAGGAATTTGGGTCAGGAATAGGGTTGTTTTCAATTTCTTCATTGCTGCCACATTTAACTTTTAATAAGAACGACTGCTAAATATTTAAGAAAATCAAGTCAATGGTGAAAATTGTTTAATCATTAATATCTCAGTGGGGTTTTAAACTTAACAGTCTTCCCTGTATGGACAAGGTCTAGCTAGAAATAACAGAAATAAAAGTATTATGCCACACTACATTTACTTTATGGGTTTAGGGTGCATGCATAAAGGGATCATATTTCCCCATATAGTTAAAACACAAGAACTGCAGCAGTAGTCATTTCTGAACATTTCTCAATTTAATTATACTTAAATCCAGAAGCACTTTAGGCAAGTTACAAATGAGAGCATTGAGTATAATAAAACCTGTAATAAAGCAACTTAGTACCATCCACCCGGAATCATTGCGATCAGGCACAATTAACAGGAGCATAAATCCAAGACAGAATGGAAAATGTTCGAATCAGTATTATTGTTGGACAAAGACTAGAGAAGGAAGTAATAGTTTTTTAAATGGCAATGCCTGTGCTTGGTAACGATTGCGAAATCTTCCCTCTCAGCAGCCCTGGTGCTAATTTGTAAACACAGCCAGACATTATATTGCCTGTCAGTTTCTGCATTAGAAAACATGATTTCATTTTACTTTCTAATCACGTTTTGATTCTAACACACTCATGGATACACAACCATCTGCAAAGAGAGAGGGGGGGCACCTCACACTGCTGCTGGACAACGGGAAAACAGTAAAGAAGCCTCAAAGGGTTTTTGTCCCTGATGTTTCCATATTCCTGCCAGATTTACTGTAGGCAGCAGATTTCTTACAAATTATTTCTGGTTTTCCTTGAGTGAAGGTGTGTGTGTGTGTGTGTGTGTGTGTGTGTGTGTGTGTGTGTACACATACACATGAGTGTGCTTTGTTACATTACCTTCAGGGTTTCCCACACCGCTGTTACCCCCATCCTGTCATGTCATTTCTATTGTGTTTCTTTGGCTTTGGCTGCCTGGACTCTGGGATCCCTGAGGTTCCCAAGCTGCTGAGAAGTGCCACACCAAAGCCACATGCATTTCTAAAGGTTGAATTGACTGGGGAAAAGATTAGGAACTCCCAAACTTCATTTAATTTTCAAAGAAAGTTTTATTCCCCATCCCATCCTGTTCAATGTGGATTATCTCCTGGGAGGGGGGAGGAAAAATGGGTTGTGGGTGTACAGTGAAACCTCTTGAGTTTTAAAGCTCCAAATTCAGTAAGCTAAGATGAGATGTTTATATATAAATGTCATTATGAGGGAGGGGGGACTGCCATCCTCCACCTTCCCCTCCCCCACCTTGCAGGGAATATTCATTTCCTTTTGTTTTGATTATACACTTACATTCATGTGTATCCTTTTGTTGCAGCATGTAGAAGACCCGGGTATTAACATCCCAGATCAAACTGTAATTAAGAAAGGTAAGCCATTTCCTTCTGCATTCCAAGCATGTCCTTACAGGCAGAGTGCTATTTAAAAGAACTTGCAGGACTGTATTTATTTTTTTCAAATAGGATTTCCTAAAGGCTCAGAATTAGCAAATAGATAGGCATAGAAGAACAGTGCTTAAACAACCGGCTTTCAGGATCTTGGTAATGGCAACAGGCTAGCTTTGTTCAGATCATGATTTCAGCACTGAGTTCAGTTATTCATATTTGGACAAAATGAAATGTGCAATATTGACCTGATTTGGAAGTGGTTTCATAGCTAATTCATTGTGTGGAGTTAAAGGCCATGAGGGTTAAAAAGTGTATCAAGCTAAAATAATACAAATAATTTAATATCAATGAAAAGACAGATTTTTTTTTTAAAGCCCTCTATTAGGGAAGAAAACTTCATGTTCTCTGATTTAGTTTCTAGTTTCTTGATTGAGTCTCAAGGCTTTAAAACTTGGTGAATTAGGTTAACAAAAATTTAGCTTTTGGTTAAAATTAGCATCTTGAAGATGCCACTATTGACCTAAGTATTTAGAAAAGAAATTGTTAAAAAGGTATTACAGGATTTGAATGAATTTATCATCTGCATTGTGCTTAGTGGGTAGGAATAAAGTTTCATGTATTAAATGCAATAGCAGTATTTTGTTGTTGTTGTTGTTATGATGGCAAAAATCTCAGGGTTCTAGATTCCACCAGAGGACCATGCTATATAAAACTGTTCTCATTTCTAACCCCAATCAGTATAGTGTAAGCTAGTTTAAAGTTTCATTTTTGCATCTGTGAAGTCTTTGTCATGTCAAATTAGATGTGCAAGGGATAAATCTTAAGAGGTGCTCTTTCCAAGTCGACATGATAATTGGCTCTTTTATTAGTAATCTCTCAAGAGTTCGTTTAACTCCTATTGTCTCTATTAGCCTCCCCAGAGCTATTAATGTCACAAGTGATCTATCCAAAACCTAGAGCCCCTCATCTCCCCATACGACTAGAATATCCCCATTAAAAAAAAAAAAAAACATGCTGTGATGAGACTGTGTACATATTATTATTACATGTCTCTATGTGGGATTTTAAGATATAAATGCATTGTACTTAAGTGGTTGCGGACGCATCAGAATTAAATTGGTGTTAAGAAATGGACCCCTCGTTTGCCTGGTCTTGAATTTGTTTTCTAACAATGGTTGGTCCAACAATGACGGCTTATGGTTTTAACTGATTGTATATTCTACCTCCCCCCCGCCCCGGACTCTTTTGAAGGGCCTTAGGCAGACCGGGTTCAATTAGTATTTGCTCAACAAAAGGACTCATTCCTAGTGTTCAGCTGTAGGCCCTTTCTTGAGTCCTGTTCAAAAAATGGGCTTGGGATGATTTCCAAAACCCGAGCGTCTTTCAAAATGAAACATCAGGGTCTATCGATGAAAGGAGGTTAGTACAGTGTGTGACAACAGAATGCACCACTTGCTGGCTAAATGGAAATGTTCATTTACTGGCTGCTGCAGCCCATCAGAGTATCCACCGGCTTTAACAGCCATTTCTTTCCGCTGTGAGTCCTTCGTCCGCTAAACCCTGGCTACACCAACCCTGCCCGGGGTTTGCACATGAAACCCACCCGCTGTCTCCCCAAACGCGATCTCCTGCACCTCGCCGGCGCCCTGCGCGAGCCCGGGGCGGGGGGTAGCGACAGCATCAGCCATCTCTAGACAGCTTGCAGCAAGGGTGAAGGCAGGAAGCCGCTGCGGGATGCCAGCGCGGTGGGCCCGCCCCCCAACACGCGCCCTCCTCTGTCTCCGCAGGCCCTGTGTCCCTGTCCAAGTCCAACAGCAACGCCGTCTCCGCCATCCCTATCAACAAGGACAACCTCTTCGGTGGCGTGGTGAACCCCAACGAAGTCTTCTGTTCAGTTCCGGGTCGCCTGTCGCTCCTCAGCTCCACCTCGAAGTACAAGGTCACGGTGGCGGAAGTACAGCGGCGCC